TCTAAAGTCTTCTGTTATTATTGCTATGGCTTTATAGAATAATCTGATTAACTTTTTTTTTTTGTGTTATTAGTGTTATACTTGATTATTGATCAGACATGGAAATTGAAATTGTCTTTTGATGTATATTTCAATTCAGCTTCTCTCTGTTGATGTTTACGCTGAAGACTGAATAAAAATCTGAGGTACATGCTATTTATGTACTGATTCTCCCTACTTTTCTATTTCTTTCTTGGAAAATTTGAGATTTTTGGAAACTGTATATTTGTATCTTCCCCTTGGTCCTATTAGTTGTCTTGCTATGATAGTTGTTATTCCATCCTTGCTTACAGGATTTTTTTTTCTTTCTGCACACCAATACGATTAACTTAGAAATCATCTTCTGGGGGCGCATATGGCGATGCAAACTGTTTATCTTAAAGAACATGAAGGAAATGCACCCAATTCTGTGGGGGCCTTGTCATCTGCAGCTTCAGCACCCTGGTGGAGTGCTTTTGGATCTCAACCTGTTCATGGGGTGGAGTCTTGTGGCCAAATGAAACCCTTTTCATTGGAGCTTCCTAACTGCATAAACCATCTTGCTGCCAATAAGCCATCGGCAAGAGGAGCTGAACAAGTGTTGGGCAAAGGACACACAACTCAGTTTACCATCTTTCCAGGTATTTAATTGTGGATGTGTCTCTCTGGTTGAGTTGTGCAATTTAGTTACATGGGTTTTCACCAAATTAGTGATTGAAATTATTAACTGTTGGAGTTGTGAGTGATACACACAGATATCACTACCACTAGTTCCTGTGCATCCTTTTGGCATAACATTTTGGGAGATGATTATCATGTGAGGTGACTTTATGATAAAGGAAAAGTTAATGATGTCATAACTCTGCTGGGAAAATCTAAAGGGAGAGAAGCTGCAGATATCAGTTTAGGGGAGTGTTTATGAAAAATGTTGAAAATCCATTCAACGTGTGAATCTACCAAATATTTCTAGTAAGGTTTGGTTCCTCAAAATGCAGAGAGTTTTTCTTTTCTTCTTAAACATGTGTACAGTCAAGTAGTGTTATTTTTTGCCATGAACGCAGAACATGGTAAAAGAACTTCAATATGTCGGTTTGCCCTTTTGTTTTGGGACTTATTTTTAGTTGGGAGAAGAATGATATGCAAACAAAGGAAGCTTGATGTTCAGAATGGTGGGTCAGGATCACCAAAAGGAAATAAATTATACATATGAAAGATCTAAGGACTTCAACTTAATTTTTCTTCTTGATTTACTAACGTTGGAATGTGATGAATTTTGCTTATTGATTTGAACTGGTGAAAGTATAATAAAAAATGGCTTCACTGAAAACATTGCAGACGATACTTTAGAGTTTACCCTTATTCTCAATGAAATAAAAAGGTTAACGTACTCACATCGTCTCCGTAGTATAGTATCTCTCCAAACTCAAATTTGTTTCTACAGTCCAAATTCCTTTAAAAAGCCCCTTATAATTTTCAAACAATGCAAAATGGTCCGTATTGCAGTTCCATAATTTCACTCTAAACAAGGAATAAATCCAATTGACATGGTTGATTACCATTGTTTAGCTGATATGGGTTGAAAAGGAAGACTGTTATTAAGATATATGAACTCAGACTTTCACACATAGAGTAGGAGATACACATTCAACCGCAGAGTCTGAAACTATTGTTTTCAAATTTTTGGTATTACGGCTGAAGCCAATTCCTGCATGAAGAGCTATCCCCTCTTCTCATGCTGTCTTCCAAAATTCCATAAAGATATAAAAAATGCAATTTATCGAGTTGTAAGACAGATAAAATGAGATTACCCTTTTAGGTCCTTGTGCTAGCTTCCAACACACTTGAAACTGAATTTTTCGTGGCTTAAATTCTGAATCTAAAATTATATCACGGACTCCAGTAGAATTGATGATTGTTTAGAAAACTACTCTGCTTTTGTTTTTCATTTGTTAGAAGTGACAGTGTTTTCTGTACTTGACACATCAACTTTCCTTTGGGTAACCATTAAGACATTTCTTCTTCAGATGATTGTAAAATGTCAGATGATGCGCAGACGCTTCAGACAACCATATCACTGCAGCCATCACTAGCTGACTCTCACTCTCGTTTTGAGATAGGATTTAGTCAGCCCATGGTAAAATCTTCTCGAAAAAGTAACCACTTTTATATTTTAGCATTTCGTATTTGTGAGTAAACATATTTTGCTTTTGCTTGGTATCCTTCCCTTTGTAGATATGTGCAAAATATCCTTATACGGATCAATTTTATGGGCTCTTCTCAGCTTATGCACCTCAAATTTCGGTTTGTCTTTTACTTGAGCAAGCTTCTCTATACATGCTCTCACGTTTGATTTTTCATTTAGTTATCATTTGGTAGTATAGTTTAATCTTTCTCTGTTTACTAAATCATCTATGTATCATCTGTAACAATTCAGGGACGTATAATGCTGCCACTTAACATGACATCTGATGATGGACCAATTTACGTAAATGCTAAGCAGTACCATGGAATCATTAGGCGTCGGCAGTCCCGTGCCAAAGCTGTACTTCATTACAAATTGACTAAACGTCGCAAGGTATCACAAATATTTTTTCATTTCATACTAATAATGAACATTGTGTAGCCTCGGCTTCACTGGCCTTGAAACAAAGTAGCTATGACTTATGATAGGGTCTCTGGCCTAACTTTTGTAGAAAGTGGTCGATTATTTCTTTTAAGTAACGTGTACTATATACCAAAGGCGATAAATAGTGCATTTGTTAGGTGCATTCTGCAGCGATCGTAATTGTTCAAATCTTATGATTCACAGTTCAAAACCTACCATTCGATTGGGTTTGACTGTTTATCAGTTTATATCATAAGATGAATCTTAGGTGACTTTGTATCACAGTATCATACTATTCATCTATTTCTTTCATTTTATATGAAAGAAATAGAAAAGATATAAAAGTTTAAAATGTTAAATGAGCTTCACAAACTTAGATCATCTCAGATTCCTCTGTAATTTTAATAGGCAGAAATCATATGACGAATGAATTATGTTATGATATCAAGTACGCTTAAAGTTTTTTTAACAAAATAAATTTGATCTTTAAGGTGTTTCTGTATTAAAGGATCCAATCACTCACATTCGATGCTGATCAGACACTGATTACTTGTGAAATAGTACTATTTCCTTTTTAACGTCTGTAGTTATTTGAGTTGTAAATCTGTCTTACAGCCTTATATGCATGAATCTCGCCATCTCCATGCAATGAGGCGACCAAGAGGATGTGGTGGTCGCTTCTTGAACACAAGGAAATCTGGTAATGGAAATGGCAAAACTGGCAATGGAGTGCATGAAACTGTTGGTGAACGATTTCATTCCAGTGGTTCTCAGAGTTCTGAATTCCTTCAGTCTGAAGCTGGAACTTTGAATTCATCAAAAGAGACTAATGGCAGCAGTCCAAATATTTCTGGCTCAGAAGTGACTAGCATGTATTCGCGGGGAGGTCTTGACAGATTTTCCCTCAATCATTTTGGATCTTCTGTCCACACTCTGGCAGACATGATAGATGGTGGGCGTGGTATGATCATACCCCCCAAATGGGCTGCAGCAGCAGGTAACTGCTGCAACCTTAAAGTCTGACAGGAAAAGAATGAAGGGGGGGTTTGGTTCAATACTGCACCGAACCCATCCTTCATGAGACCAGATGAAGAAGCTTTGTTTCAGTTGACTGTGTTGACTGTGGCAAGATTCGTTCTGTAGGATCGTCCTAACATCTGGTCTAGGCAATTCATCCCTGGCTCATACTTTGGCAATCCATCCTTGGCTCATGGTAACTTTAGGCAACTCATCCTTGGCTCTGTAGTAATTTGTCTTTATGCAGGGGAGTGTCTTTGGCATGGTTCAAACTAATGACTTGATACCCTGATGCAGAAGACAACTGTGTGTCTTTGTGTGAAAATAAAAGCATGAAACTCCATTTATGTATATTTCTGCCAAGTCTAAACTTGGTTTTCTATTTTGTATTTAGGAACTATGTATTGCACAACTTTCACCTTTAGTCTTTTTTAAATCAAGGCACTCGTGTGTTTTTCTCCTTTTCAGCAAGTCAAAATTTTATTATCCTGCCATCTAGAAAATAGCAAGTACAACAAACTATCTCAATATGGAGAATATAAGTATATGTTGAAAAAAATAAATTTATAGTTTATAAATAAATACAAATCTTATTTTATAATTCTGTTTTATAAATTTGAATTCAACTTAAAGTCTATTTTTTAAAAATATCTGGTAACTAGACAGCATTATTCACTATCAATAGAGTTCTGGTTCAGTTTTCACCAGTGTTTCAAGATTTCCTTTGAGAAGAAAAAAAGAAACATGTTTGTTAGATGCCATAGTAAAACTTGTGCTTTGCTGAGTTTAATTCGATTTTCACGTGACATGCAATTCCGCAGGAGTGGGACAAAGACGGCTCATAACATAGTAGTTCAAATTTTGCCAAATCCCCATCTCCTACGCACCCGCCAAACAAATTACTTCCAACAACTTCCTTTGAGATTAGAACTATTCGTGATTTGTTGGTTTAATTTATCAGCTAATTGTCATAGTATTTATTATTTCATATTTTTTTTTCAACTACTAATAAGATTATCAACGGCCATTAAAATTTTCCATACTTTTATTATTTTTATAGTAATTATATTACAAATAAATTCTAACAATTTTTTTTATTAGACACAAGTATAAAAATGAATGATAATGGATGCATAAAACTTGAACTATAGTACTGACATGTTACATTTTTCAAAGAAAAACCGAATCAATTTGGAAACTAATTTCGTAAAATCATTGACATTCCACTGTAACGAAACCGTGTAAAATGGAAACAGGGATTTTTTTTTTAATTTTTGTTGAAAAATTTAAATAAACTAAAATTGAGAAGAAATTATGATATATAAATNAAAGTAACCACTTTTATATTTTAGCATTTCGTATTTGTGAGTAAACATATTTTGCTTTTGCTTGGTATCCTTCCCTTTGTAGATATGTGCAAAATATCCTTATACGGATCAATTTTATGGGCTCTTCTCAGCTTATGCACCTCAAATTTCGGTTTGTCTTTTACTTGAGCAAGCTTCTCTATACATGCTCTCACGTTTGATTTTTCATTTAGTTATCATTTGGTAGTATAGTTTAATCTTTCTCTGTTTACTAAATCATCTATGTATCATCTGTAACAATTCAGGGACGTATAATGCTGCCACTTAACATGACATCTGATGATGGACCAATTTACGTAAATGCTAAGCAGTACCATGGAATCATTAGGCGTCGGCAGTCCCGTGCCAAAGCTGTACTTCATCACAAATTGACTAAACGTCGCAAGGTATCACAAATATTTTTTCATTTCATACTAATAATGAACATTGTGTAGCCTCGGCTTCACTGGCCTTGAAACAAAGTAGCTATGACTTATGATAGGGTCTCTGGCCTAACTTTTGTAGAAAGTGGTCGATTATTTCTTTTAAGTAACGTGTACTATATACCAAAGGCGATAAATAGTGCATTTGTTAGGTGCATTCTGCAGCGATCGTAATTGTTCAAATCTTATGATTCACAGTTCAAAACCTACCATTCGATTGGGTTTGACTGTTTATCAGTTTATATCATAAGATGAATCTTAGGTGACTTTGTATCACAGTATCATACTATTCATCTATTTCTTTCATTTTATATGAAAGAAATAGAAAAGATATAAAAGTTTAAAATGTTAAATGAGCTTCACAAACTTAGATCATCTCAGATTCCTCTGTAATTTTAATAGGCAGAAATCATATGACGAATGAATTATGTTATGATATCAAGTACGCTTAAAGTTATTTTAACAAAATAAATTTGATCTTTAAGGTGTTTCTGTATTAAAGGATCCAATCACTCACATTCGATGCTGATCAGACACTGATTACTTGTGAAATAGTACTATTTCCTTTTTAACGTCTGTAGTTATTTGAGTTGTAAATCTGTCTTACAGCCTTATATGCATGAATCTCGCCATCTCCATGCAATGAGGCGACCAAGAGGATGTGGTGGTCGCTTCTTGAACACAAGGAAATCTGGTAATGGAAATGGCAAAACTGGCAATGGAGTGCATGAAACTGTTGGTGAACGATTTCATTCCAGTGGTTCTCAGAGTTCTGAATTCCTTCAGTCTGAAGCTGGAACTTTGAATTCATCAAAAGAGACTAATGGCAGCAGTCCAAATATTTCTGGCTCAGAAGTGACTAGCATGTATTCGCGGGGAGGTCTTGACAGATTTTCCCTCAATCATTTTGGATCTTCTGTCCACACTCTGGCAGACATGATAGATGGTGGGCGTGGTATGATCATACCCCCCAAATGGGCTGCAGCAGCAGGTAACTGCTGCAACCTTAAAGTCTGACAGGAAAAGAATGAAGGGGGGGTTTGGTTCAATACTGCACCGAACCCATCCTTCATGAGACCAGATGAAGAAGCTTTGTTTCAGTTGACTGTGTTGACTGTGGCAAGATTCGTTCTGTAGGATCGTCCTAACATCTGGTCTAGGCAATTCATCCCTGGCTCATACTTTGGCAATCCATCCTTGGCTCATGGTAACTTTAGGCAACTCATCCTTGGCTCTGTAGTAATTTGTCTTTATGCAGGGGAGTGTCTTTGGCATGGTTCAAACTAATGACTTGATACCCTGATGCAGAAGACAACTGTGTGTCTTTGTGTGAAAATAAAAGCATGAAACTCCATTTATGTATATTTCTGCCAAGTCTAAACTTGGTTTTCTATTTTGTATTTAGGAACTATGTATTGCACAACTTTCACCTTTAGTCTTTTTTAAATCAAGGCACTCGTGTGTTTTTCTCCTTTTCAGCAAGTCAAAATTTTATTATCCTGCCATCTAGAAAATAGCAAGTACAACAAACTATCTCAATATGGAGAATATAAGTATATGTTGAAAAAAATAAATTTATAGTGTATAAATAAATACAAATCTTATTTTATAATTCTGTTTTATAAATTTGAATTCAACTTAAAGTCTATTTTTTAAAAATATCTGGTAACTAGACAGCATTATTCACTATCAATAGAGTTCTGGTTCAGTTTTCACCAGTGTTTCAAGATTTCCTTTGAGAAGAAAAAAAGAAACATGTTTGTTAGATGCCATAGTAAAACTTGTGCTTTGCTGAGTTTAATTCGATTTTCACGTGACATGCAATTCCGCAGGAGTGGGACAAAGACGGCTCATAACATAGTAGTTCAAATTTTGCCAAATCCCCATCTCCTACGCACCCGCCAAACAAATTACTTCCAACAACTTCCTTTGAGATTAGAACTATTCGTGATTTGTTGGTTTAATTTATCAGCTAATTGTCATAGTATTTATTATTTCATATTTTTTTTTCAACTACTAATAAGATTATCAACGGCCATTAAAATTTTCCATACTTTTATTATTTTTATAGTAATTATATTACAAATAAATTCTAACAATTTTTTTTATTAGACACAAGTATAAAAATGAATGATAATGGATGCATAAAACTTGAACTATAGTACTGACATGTTACATTTTTCAAAGAAAAACCGAATCAATTTGGAAACTAATTTCGTAAAATCATTGACATTCCACTGTAACGAAACCGTGTAAAATGGAAACAGGGATTTTTTTTTTAATTTTTGTTGAAAAATTTAAATAAACTAAAATTGAGAAGAAATTATGATATATAAATGAATACAAATTTTATTCCATATAAATGAATACAAATTTTATTCCGTAAGTCAGTAAAATTGAATTAAACTTAAAAATTTATTTTTTAATGTTTAATCCAACATTACAAAATTTATATGTCTAGGACAGTCTGCTTAGGTACACTTTTTTACTATTTTTTAAAGTAAAAAAATAGTTTAATACATCATTTGGTCAATATTTTTAAGGGTTTAGTTAAAAGTGATCCTATTTTTTAAAAAAGTTCAGTAAGACTCCATATTTCGTTAAAAAATGTTCAATCTGGTCCTTTTCGCTCACGCGGTTAAAAACATAATGGTGCAATGTGGTGTTATGAATACGTGACATGTTTGAAGAGGTTGCGCTGTGTAAATATTTAAAAAAAAATTAAAATGATATGTTAGGTGCAAATCTCAACAGCCACACCATCTGCAAATCCTCCAACCTGGTCCAAAATCACTCTCTGATCATGATGGAATGACAACGCCATTGCATTTGCATCAGAGGGCTCCATCTCAATAATTCTCACCTTTGGATTAACCCTCTTCACATAACAATCACCGTAGAGCAGATAACTCCCGTTTCCAACAACTTCCTGGGAAGCTTTGCCATCATATTATAAGCTCCACAAATCTTAAATGAGAATCCGGTGGGTACTGGAGGAAGAATGCACGGCCTCTGGCGGCTTGTGTGCGAAATAAGAAGCAGCACTAAGTTACATTCTAGAACAACTCGAGAGAGTGCGCAAGAGAGAAACCACCACTTTTTGTCCTCCACCATGAGCGTAATGAGTAATAGGGAGAAGATTGTGAGTACCAAGGAGTTGTGCAGGGGCCCTTGATGCAGTCACAGGATTTTCTAGGAACCAAGGGGCCTTTAAAGAATTCACTAGAAAACCCAAGTAAGGGGAGTTAACTTTTTGATGTATTGATTGAGCATGATGTGTTTCTTTTGAAACTTGTTAATCTTGAGAAACTATGTGGATAGATAGTATACCCAATTGGAAGGTTGTGGGTTGCTAAGGAAAAAAAATGGTTTAGGATGTTATTCCCAGAATATGAATGCACTGGTTGAAGGATTACAGTGCATGTGGTTTGTAGTAAGAAAAAGTGCATATCGTGAATCTTTGGAGGGTAGCCTTAGGTTGGCTAGGTTAAGAATGTAAATAAGAGTAGGAAGTGTTAACATGTTGTATGAGTGAAATATGACAATAGAGTGCATTGGTGATGGGTTGTGTTCTCAATAGAGATACCAACATAGGTTTATGGGTATAATAAATTATTATTTTATAATTGCATGGAATGTTTTATGGGTATTAAATGTATGGAAGTGGTATAAATGTGGAGTAATGTACTCTCATTACATGATGGTATGAGTGTGTTGGGTAAACTTTAAATATTTGTTTGGATCCACGCACCAGGAAATGCTTTGTTTGTATGTAATTATGTGAGCACCGAAAATGAGCACTAAAATAGTCACCATATTTGGATGTTTGTGCTTTTGTTTATGATAAATTGGCACCTTGTGGCAAGAGAAGAAGCGTGACATACTTGTAAGTGTGTGCACCGTGGGATTGGGCAGTAAAATGCAAAGAAGAGAGAAGCCTCACGGTTTTGTGAGAGAAAGAAAGGAGAGGGTCTCCGATAGTGTGTGCAACAAAGTCATGGTGTTTTGTAAGAGTTATTTGTGTGAGAAAGAGAGAAAGGTTCACCACCGTGAGAAACCAGAGAAAGAATGGAGTTGTTGCATGTATTATTGAGTCATGTGTTTGTTTGTGAGTTGTGCATCACCGTGAGAGAAAGAGAGAAAATGGGTTATACTTTGTGAGTTGTATGTTGTATAAGTTTGAGAGTTTAAAGTGTTGTCTGTGTATTTGTGTGTTCTGGAAAGTAATCTAAAAAAAATACAAAGAGTATATATTCTGTCCTAACAGTGAAATATCTAGTTTTATGGGTTTCGAAAATTATATCATTTTTGAGTTATTATTGAGTGTAATAGTATATAGGATGAGATATGAAGGTGGATGTATAAAACTGATGCATTGTTGGGTGATATAGGATGATATAGGGTGGAATAGTATATTGGGTGATAAAGCCATTTACGTTTCTCTTGCATTTAATTTTTCAAACAACCATTTACGTTTCTCTCTCTGCATTTAATTCTTTACTCACTCAGGTTTAACCACGCATTTGCACCGTTATATTTTTAACGGTGTGAGAAAAAAACAAAATTAAATATTTTTTAACAAAATTTGAGATATAAACTTTTTTAAAAGGTACAATGCCTTTTAACTAAACCCTTAAAAGTTAGGACGAAGTATTAAACCTAACATATTGATAAAAAAGATATTGATGCAAGGAAGTGAGAGTACCATCTCGAAGTGTTTCCAAGCAAAGGAACCTTATCCTGCTAAGTAACTCTGCAGGAATAACAATTCCATACTCAATTCTGAAAAAAACAATCCTTTTCTCTCTCAGACACTAAATGGCTGCTGCAGCTTCTTTTTCCTCTTCTGTCTGCAACAGAATATACAACCTTTCCCTCACCCACTCTTCCATTTCACGCACCTCCAACTTCCCTCAGAGACCCATTTTCCAAAAACCACCCAATCTTAGCCACAAGTCCCAAAATTTCAGTCTTTCGTTTCTTCCACTTCATCGTCTGTCCCCACCGTTCGCCACCTTCGATGGTTTGGAAGTGGGTCAAGACATCACAGAGTCCCGACAAGACGAACCGGTAACAGAAACCTCTGAAAAAACAGAACAAGAGGAAGAGCGAAAAGTTTCAGACTTGAACGACGATGCCGGGAGGCTCTATATTGGAAACTTGCCATATTCAATTACTAATTCCCAATTGGCAGAGCTCTTTGGAGAAGCTGGTAGCGTGGTGTCTGTTGAGGTTTCTTCTTTTCGCCATTTTTATTCTCCCTTTTCTCCCTTTTCATCCTTTGTGCTTATTTTTCTGCTTGATTGATGAATTTAAGGTGTTTATGGTGCAATCTAATGCTGGTCCGTATTTCGTTTGATTCAATTTTATAGATTGTGTATGATCGTGTCACGGGTAGAAGCAGGGGATTCGCATTTGTCACAATGGCAACTGTAGAGGATGCTAAAGAGGCAATTCGAATGTTTGATGGCTCTGTAAGTTTCAGTACATTACCTGCTATATAATTTTGTTATTGAAAGATGCTAGTAAAACACCCTCTACACTCCAATTCATGTAGGTCCTACCACATGTGTGGGTCTTATTCTACATTTAGCAGGTTTCATTCCCAAATAAGCGAACACTTGAATTACAATCAATAGGTGAAAATGTGTTGCAAAGAGTGTGAGAGTGTATTATTAGAACGTTTTAATGGTTTATTTGCTCAATGTTCATAGTCATATTTCCAGCAGGAGTAGCTGCTTTTCTAATCCAATAATTTGTTTTTTCCTACGGTCTTTAATCAAAGTAGTGATAAACATTTCCAGGAGTTTGTTCTGATTTACTGAGTTATCAAAGATGATCAAGTACTTATATTATGAAAATGAGTTAAGGGAAAATGATTCAATTTTCCCGAGAAATGGAAAAAAAATCCAGTTTGCGTAGGGTTTTCTTTCCTTGTGGCACTATTTATACTAATTCCTCCATTTTATATTGATTGTGGTTTTAGTGTTAAAAAAATCATATTGATGGTTGTTATCACATTTCAAAGAAATATTATACAATCTCTTCCGGTTTTGTCCTCTTAATAAATACTATTGTCTTGGCAATACTTGATGATGCAATCATCAAAATGAAAAAGTAGATTAGGATATTTTAGCACAATTGATTAACTTTGCTACTAAAAGAAGATTAAAAGAAAAACAAGGAATGTACTGATCATTGTGTATATCATTTTTATTGAGGAAAATACTTCCAGAATAGTTTGCTGTGACTTGATTTCCATTTGGCAGCTTGATACAGACAGGATTAATTTTATGATATGAAGTGAAACAAGAGAAAAATAAACAATTGTCAAGTGTCCAAAGATTAAATGAAGGAAAGTTACCAATATGTGCTGACATGTTTGGAGATGTTGATGTAGAAGAGATGACTGAAACTTGATTTGAAACACTGCTACTAGATTTAGACTGTTGTAATAGTGCTAACAAAGCTTGACACTGCTTAGGAGTAAAACCAAATTTCCGAGGCTGCAACTCTGCCTTTCAATTTTCACGATCCTGTTCACTAAATCTCGATTTTGAAAAACTGGATTAGTTTGACTTTGATCATGGGTCTGATTATTAAATTTGAAATGCGGGGAAAACCATGCTTTCTGCTGCAAGTATCAAAGGTACTATTTTTCCAAAAGGATTGCAGACTTTAGAACTATTGCCTCTTTCATAGCTTCCCTTTTGAGGTACATGGCCTCTTCCATAACCAGAACCTTTTCCACAGCTTGCAATGTTGTTCTTATAGACTCCTTTCACATTTGCTTTGGACTGATTAGATTGATCACCAAAAATCTGTCTTTCTCGCTTCATAATAAGAAATAAGACTTGACTCAAGGATGGCTGGGGATCCATCAACAGAATGAGTTCTGTCCCTTTAGAAACTTAGTAAAGTGATCTTGTGTAACATTCCAAGGAGCACTACAAGTGCACTTGAAAGCACAATAACTAGCTGGTGATGGGAGGAAAAAATTGAGTTCATCCCTCAGGATTTTGGTGAAATAAACTGTAATGCTCAATTCTCCTAGTTTGAAAGAAGAGATCTTCTCCTGAAGATTGGAAATGTGAATCATTACCCCTTGTAAGAACCTTTTACTTCAAGTCATTCTATATGTCAAAGGCATTATCCATACAAATAATGCTTTGGACAATGATGATGATGAAACAACTTTGAGAATCCAACAAACAATCAACATATTGGCTCTTTGCAATGCTGGAAATGATGAGTTGGTAGAAGTAGGAGCTTCTATGGTTCCATCAATGAAACCTATTTTATTTTTTGAAATGAGCAAGACCAACGATAATAGTTTGGTTCCTCAAGAACTTTTGGGACAACGATGAAGGAAGGATTGCCAGATGAATTAACAAGGTATGGAGAACTGAGGTTTTGTTGGGCATCAATAACTGATCCATGAATGAATTTAGCAATCAGAACTCTAAATTATAACAGAAAATAAAGATAAAGGGATTCAAGAAAATATCAGAGAATGAGGAAATTTTCTCTCTGCAAATTTGTGTTCAGAGGTCTTGTATATATGTACAGGCACTGCATAAATGCTATGCGTCACTGAAAATAAAAGAATAAGTACAAAAAGGAAATTTGCAATATTGCGGAGCAATAGCAGAATTGTTTAGTTGTCCTTTGTAACAGAATTGCTGAGTTGGTATTAGTAGCTCTTGCATCCTTATCATTTGATATATGATTTTTTATTTTCCTTGCCTTACAATAATTCTGGATGACAATTTGTTCTACCAGAAGATCTCTCTTATTTTGTGGTTGGTATTGTGATGTTGGAGATATCTTATAAAAAGCAATACTCAAATTATTTTATTAAAAGCTTTGATGAGATCTGATCATTCTAATCTAAATTGTGACCTAAATGGTAATATTAATGACTGTTTGGGTGAGCAGCAAGTTGGTGGTAGGACTGCGAAGGTAAACTTCCCAGAGGTACCGAAAGGAGGGGAAAGATTGGTAATGGGGGCAAAAGTGAGGAACAACTACAGAGGGTTTGTAGACAGCCCTCACAAGATCTATTGTGGAAACCTTGGGTGGGGAGTGAACTCACAGGGTCTTAGAGAAGCTTTTGCTGAGCAACCAGGCGTATTGAGCGCCAAAGTCGTCTATGAGAAGGACAGTGGAAGATCTCGAGGTTTTGGCTTTGTTTCTTTCACAACTGCCGAATCTGCAGCAGCTGCCTTGGACTTGATGAATGGTGTGGTAAGAACATTTTCGGTACATCAATTTTGCAATTTCAAGTTCATCTTATGATATCGGTCTGATTATGTAACTACATTCCGTCTGAATGTGATACGTTTTTCAGGAAGTACAAGGTCGCCCATTGCGGTTGAATTTGGCTGAAGCTAGGGCAGCATCATCTCCTCCAGTACTTGAGGATAATGCAGGAATCAATGTTGAAAGCTCGGAATTGGTCTCAAGTGCCAGAACATAAAGCAATTTAATCGATCAAAATTTTGCCCGCAAAATTCACTCGGCAAATTTCCTGTCAATTTGCCCGTCATATCCGTTATACAATAAGTAGATCCTCAGGCAGTTGTGAAATGTATTTTTTATTGAACAACTAACGATCATATCTATATGGGGGTCGATGTTAATTACACTGTTTGTAATTATGAAAGGCTAGCTTTCAGAGTTTGGTCAACTAATAATTTATTGAAGTGAATTCTTTTGAAGTCCTAAACTCTTGTTGAGGGTGAAATAATGACAAAATGGAAGCCAAGGCGACAGATTAGAGCCACTATTTCGCTACGAGTGGTAGCTGAAAGTATGAAAGCAGCTTGGCTACGAGCATGTTAAAGGCAATAATTCTTCGAACCAGCTTTCATTTAAGCAAGCGATTAATTCAAGTCATTTCTATATCGTCATTACTTTACACATAATTTCAGTAGTACCCAGACTGATGATTACCAAGTAACCCAGAAGTTTGGCAGCTCTTTTTATGAGAATGATAGGGTAAATTTTCTAACCAATTGAAGTAATATATATATATATATATATATATATATATATATATAAATCCAAAAGAAATAGAAAATACTTGATATTAAAGATGACAAATGGTTTGTTCAAACATATCACCTAATTGACACGAATTCAAAATGGACTCTTACTTTTAAATATGATATATATAGTCCTACATTTGAATCAAGATTCACTTTTTTAAAAAGTAAAAACAATTAAAAGAAAAATAAAAAGTATTATATATAATTTAAATTTTTTAGCAATATTAATAAAATTAATTTTTATTCTAGGTATAATGACTACATATAAAAATTATAATTATAATAATACGCATGTTTTAATAAAAATACAACTTTTGATACTTATTTTTAAAAATAAAATTATTATTTTACCAAAGGAAAAGCTATAACTTTAGACGGCGATTCAACCTAAATCCATTGAGATTGTGCGATACTGGAAGCATAGAAAAAAAAATTATGTAAGTCGCTTTAAACAATTTTCTAATCTGATAACGATTCATTCCTTCATGATAGCTCTGCTCGATATCACATTTTCAGATGAATGTCCATCATTGTCAACAACAGGTTTTATAATTAGTTAATTTAATAACTTTTTGAAACAGCGTGATATGACGATGACAGTGACTGTTGCATCATCTTACACCAGGCTTGAGCAGTGGAACTCTACTGACTTAAAAAAAGGTGAAAAGCAACAAAAATGTTTGGAGGCAGCAGCACTTAGGAGACTGCAGATCGACCACCAATTAGCCTCCATCGATTTACTTCTTGACATGACACCCAACAAATACATATCCACTACATACGACATATCGAATCCTATTGGCTTCTGGTTTAGTACCACAATTTCTTCACATTATAAGCTCATTAAAATACAATAAAATAATTTTTCATACACTCATCAGATCGACCTCTGGGAATCAGTTCTGATTTGTCACTTCCCAAAGAGGACTGGACGGACAATCTCAGCTGCATTTCAAGGACACTTAGCTTTCTCAAGAAAATGCAGATATGGGTTACCGAACAGCTCCGAAGAAAAGCAAAGGTCAAGTCACTGGCAGGTCTGTTTAAGAAGGATTACCGCCAGCTAGTAGAGCATCAGCTGCAGAATCCAAGTCATGAGGGAAAAAAATCCTGCAAAGCAATATTTTTATTGGAGCTCCAGAGCGCATATTAGGAAAATATACATATGCACAAGCACACCCTACAGAATAACAACGGAGACAGTCCATATGGCAACGAGTCACGAGCAAATTTGGCAAGCAGCATGGTATTCAAAATCATTAGATGGTATTCTAGTACTGGTCCGAGACGCTGCCCATCAATCAAGACTTTAATCATCTAACAACTTAGCAATAAGTTAAGTTCAATTTTTTGAAAAAGAAAAATATGCATGAGGTCAATCTTCTAGTCCGAGACAAATTTGGCCAAGCCTAATGTAAATTGATGACCTAGATTTGTATTTTCACTTTCTTCCTATGATTATCATAGGCATACAACATGAGCATCAGATACAACACACAATGAAATACGAACAACATACTCTCTAACATAATCTTTTGAATATGCCATCTCCCCACAATTAATGATTCTCTTTACCAATTTTTGCGATTGTAAAACTTTTTTAACTGATACAAGAGCATGTTAGAGAGTGTTCTAGAACTTTCCCTATTACATAACGTTGATATGTCAATTCTTAAGAGATATAAAGGTTAGAATACATATTCAAAAATCTCTTAACAACATACTTACTAAACCAAGATAAACATAAAATGAGGAATAGTAGCAACATTCTCCATATTATTAACCGAAATTTATCAGAAATCACAACCTTTTACGAGTCTCGTTTCTCATTTAACAAGTCTCTCTTTTGATTTGGAAGTGAGACCCACCTAAAATTGTGATTTCCATACAATTTCGACCAATTGAAGAGAAAGTATTAAAGAGTGTTTGAGAGCTAGCATTCCTTGTCTAAAATAAAATAAAAAAATTGAAAACCCCAGAGTTTCAAAAATCTAAACAAAGAACTGACTTAGACATAACTAAATATAAAACAAAAGTTGTTAGTGAACTCTCGATTTCTTATTGCCCAGAAATAGGAATAGCATTAACTTCATCCCCTCCTTTAGTAAATAAGACCATTTCTATTTTTTATTTTCAAGAGCCAATGAAGTGTGTATATTAGAGAATGTACTCCCTTATACATGTATTCTTTTTTCAAGACAAGCGTCAAATTAGTATGCACATAAACCCAGTGCTTTTGGGATTCAACATTTTTATCTTTGATGAGTGAATGGTTCTCCAATTCCTTTCACAATATAGAAACTAGGATGTGCACTATAGGCCCTAAAGCAAACTTTTTAAGGAGAGGACAAGAGAACCACGCATCACCCATTAAGATTTAGAATCTAATGTCCACCTATTTTCATTTGAGTCAAAGGAAGCATACTATTTTCTTTATACGAGGAATCATATCATCATATTAAAGTACAACATTTTTTCTATTCTCAACAGTTGTGAAAAACATTTTCAAACCCTTGTTTCTTTACAATAAAATCTCATCATCCTCAAGGGGAAATTCTATTTGGAGCCACTTATCACTATAATACCTATTCGTCCAGCAAAAGATAATAGATTACTTGTAGTAATAATCTAATCACTTATAATTATACTACTTATAAGTCAAATTTATTTAATATTATTCTTTTCGTACAATAGAGTGATATTTTTCCTAAATTTCCCCCAAATTATATTTATTGATAATTATGTTTAGGTTTAAAGGTCATTTTTATTTTAAATGGGAACATTAAATAAGGTTTAGGAATTGAAATTTGCTTATATTTGAATCCTCCATATATGACTCATTTTCGTTTATATTTGAGTCCAGAGAGTACAAATATGAAGGAAAAGAGAACAGGATACTTCAACGTTTTATGAAGTTGTTTATAGACTTAATTGATAGGTATACCAAGAGTTGCACTTCCCTCTATTATTCACTATTTGAATCCTAGGTAAATATATAGTTAGTTAACTCCTGTAAGTAATCTACTGACTTTTGTAGGAATTATAGTGAAGAATAACTTCAAGAGGCTGACGAGATTTCCATGGAGAGGAATAAATGTTTAAAACAAAATTACAACCGTTGAGATTAGAAAAAAGGATGTAATAGCATATGTCAATTTCTCATGAAAAACAAATAAGTTGACTATTTTTTTCTCAATTAAGACAATTGTTATTATCGTAGGAACTAGATTACCCGTTTCTTTATTCTGCCATTGCAAAAGAAACAAGTTAAATCACAAAATTGGTTTATAAGTGTTAGTTACTATGGGCTTATAACTGACTGATCAGGTAAGTGGAAAAATAATTGGAAAGAAACAAGCGGTTGACATACCACAGAAGCATCTCTTGACCGCTCGGTCCCGACAACCATTAAGTAGAGTTAAGGCGCAATTAATGTCACAACGGCTACTGTCAAGCGGTTAAGGTTTGCATTAATGATCATTAAGGGGTAAATTAATTGATCAGATTCTTTTAAACTCTATAAAATAGGAGTTTAATTTCAAGGTAAACTTACTTTTGACTCACTATCGAATTACTAAAGACCTACAGAGAAAGATTCTGACTTGAGCTTCGGAGTCAAAATCTTTCTCTGTAGAATACACTCCGAAGCTACACTCCGAAGCTCAAGTCAGAATCTTTCTCTGTAGATCTTTAGTAATTCAATAGTGAGTCAAAAGTAAGTTTACCTTGAAATTAAACCCCTATTTTATAGAATTTAAAAGAATCTGACCAATTAATTTACCCCTTAATGATCATTAATGCAAACCTTAACCGCTTGACAGTAGCCGTTGTGACATTAATTGTGTCTTAACTCTGCTTAACGATTGTCGGACCGAACGTTCAAGAGATGCTTTCGTGGCATGTCAACTGCTCCGTTCTTTCTAATTATTTTGCCACTTACCCGATCGGTCAGCTATAAGCCCATAGTAACAATACACATTTTTATTTTTGAAAGATTAATTATACTTGCATGGAAGTACTAAGACATTGAACACTGGTGGAGTCATGCATATGCCGAGATAGCTTTGATGCTGCTAGAAATCTTGAAATGGAATCTTTTTTTCTTGAAAAAACAGAGCTAGTTACCGAAATTATCCTATTTCTAGATAATGCACAACGAGAAAATAAATTGGTACTATTCCTATTTCTGGGAAATTAAGCAATTACTTGTAATTTCTATTTTATAGTTGGTAATGTAGAAGTATGTTTCTTGTTTGGATTTTAGGTAAACAGTTATTTATAATTTTTATTTTATATTTACCAATGTTTAAGAAGTATAGAAGTATATCTTTATTTGATTATTTTCAATACGAATACTATACATATCATATCCTATACTTTTCAAGAATTGACAAATTGGAGGATGAGTCATATCTGATAATGTTGTATCTGCGCATGATCAAAGACTAGTAATTGCACAAGTTCTTACTTCCATCAGTAATAGACCCAAGTCTAGAGACAAGCTATGTTACCTGCAAGTGTTATGGTATACTGTTCTGCTGAGGTTAGCCACGTCAGTGATGCCTTTACAGCCAGCAACAACTTCAAGAACTTGCCTGAAAAATTGCAATCATGATTATTTGAAGAGGTATAATTCTATGCATAATGTTAAATTCATTTAGTTATAAGTATAGGATAG